TGTGTGTGTGTGTGTGTGTGTGTGTGTGTGTGTGTGTGTGTGTGTGGTTTTATGTGCATCACCTCCTCAGAAATGCTTGAGCTGAAGTGCTTTCTGGTTGTGTGTGTGTGTGTGTGGTTTTTATGTGCATCACCTCAGAAATGCTTGAGCTGAAGTGCTTTCTGGTTGTGTGTGTGTGTGTGTGGTTTTTATGTGCATCACCTCAGAAATGCTTGAGCTGAAGTGCTTTCTGGTTGTGTGTGTGTGTATTTGTGTCCAATGGAGCCCTTCGTACAGACAAATGGGTTGATGGTTGGTACTATGGAGTGGAGAAGTGTGCTGCTTTGATGCTGTCGAGAGTATATGTGTGAGGCAGCTTGGTGAAATCAGGTGCTCGTCAAAATAATGAAATTGAAGAAACTAACATTTTCTCGCCAGTTTTGGTAATTTTTACAGAATGTTGGTTTTTTTGGCTCAACACCTTTTATGTCCATCTAAGAACACATTTCTGTATGGATTTTACTTAAAAACACTGATTAAAGGCCCAAAATATGTAGTTTTTCCGTTTTCACGGACTCTCAAGATAAGGAAATAACTCGACTTTGGCGGCCATTTTTCTCACTATTTTTACCCCTAAACCCAGGCAACCCCCACCTCCTTCAATCGCCAGTATCTTGACTTGTATCCAAGATACATGGATTTTTTTTAATTTCATCAAAAGCAAGGCAAATGGACAGGCTTTAAGATGATACCAATAACTCCATATGCCCCAAAATTGACGAGTGCCTGATTCCACCACGTCGTGAAACATATGTTGTTACAACTTACAATCTGTTCCTCGCAAAACGTGGCTGTTGTTTGTTGTGCCAACTTCAGGTAAACTTCATCTCAACGACGGCAGCCTGTGAGTTTGCAGAAGCATCTAGTCTAAGAAAGCTGTGGAGTATGTTCTTGTGAGAGGATGGGGAATGTACAGATAGTACGTTTTGAGATCAGTTTTACGTCCTTTTCAATACTGTATTTCCAATATGACAGACTTGAGTGTGTGGAGAGTTTTGATACCCCCTTTAGCCAGTCCAACTTCAAGAATAATAATAATAAATAGCATTTGTATAGTGCATGTCCCCACTCGAAAGCAAGCTCTATGCGCTTTACACTATATTATTACCCCAGCAGACCATAGAACACTTGGAAATATTCTCAGCTTCCCGGGAATGCCTGCCCCCAAATGGGATGCAAACCATTGTCTTGAGCACCATAGCCCACCAATATGTCAACTGAACTGATGATGTGTCTTGTGCTTAGAAACGGAATTGTATCTGGTCTGTATGAGGAATTATAAAGCTTCCACATATGGAAGAAGAGATGGACGCATATCTATTGTCATGAAAATTTTGAACCAAAGTTTTATTGCTATGAGATGAGATTATTTCTGTTTTGTTTTGCGACTTTTTTTGGGGGTGTTTTGTTCATTTTTTAAAAGTATGTATAATTTCTTCAAACCTTTAAGCCCAGATTAAATTTTTACTAAATTTGTGTATTCTAGGAGACTGTCTCTTGAATATAGTCATTTCTTTGAGAGTCAAAATGTGACTGCATCTGGGTTATTAGGCTTTTTGTTACCGTTGATCTATTTAATGTGGATGTTTCTCATTTCAAGGTTATTGCACAATTACGGACATTTCACCCTCATTTTCATTCAACCTCACAGCCATGCCAAAATATAACCATCAAGTGCTTTAGTTTTTGTTTTCACCTGTTCATTACTAGGAGTTTTAATAGATGTGTGCAAAAGATTTTAACAATTTTACATTCCATTTGTTGGTATTTATATTACATACATAACATGTTAAAGAAAATTATCAATCAAAAATCGTTCATTGTGAAATGAAAAAAAGAAGACTAGAAAAATGACAATGATTTGTTTTTCCATTTGCGCTTTACAACACACCAAAGTGTTATCTTCGACTTTGAGCTCATAATTTTGCTTTGTTTGTATTTTTCTACTCTTTTTCATACTTTTCTCCAAAGCTTTTTTATGTCTTTCTCGCTCACTATGAGCCAAGAAGTTAACGACATCTACTTTGCTCAACTGATTTGAGTGTATGTGTATACGAAGGTGTACTTTTCACTCTTTTATTCGTTTGATTTTTAAAAAAAATTTTGGTCATCACTCTTTTATTCGTTTGATTTTTAAAAAAAATTTTGGTCATCACTCTTTTATTCGTTTGATTTTTTTAAAAAATGTTGGTCATCCCTCTTTTATTCGTTTGATTTTTTTTTTAAATTTCGGTCATCCTTGCTTTCTTTGTTGGCTGTGAAGATTTGCTGCTTTGGCCTAACTGTGACCAAAGAATGTTCCTCTACATTTCCTGAACTTTGTGGGTGAGCGTCTGATGTTTTCTTAAATTTAGACACTATATTTTTGAGTTTGTGTATGTGAATGTATGAATATGTATATATGCTGTGGAGTCAGCATAAACTGCACAAGATTAATCGGAAAACAATAGTAAACGGAAAGAAAATAGAATTCCTTATTTTTTTCCTTTTCTTTTTTGAGGAGCCTCTCTAAATTAATTGTCCGGCTAGATCAAAGAAAATCGGCAGTCCCACAGATTTTTGTTGAAGCAGTCTCCACTATATATATATAAATCTACATCCTTTATTCTGGGAGGAGGAGGAGGTTGTGTGGGTGTTGGGAGAAAAGGCAAAAGTTGTGTGTTTGTATGTGCGTGTCTGTTTATGTGTGTGTGTGTTTCTTTGAGTGTGACAAGAAAGAGAGAGAGAGACTGTGTTGAGGATAATTTCATTTAAGTAATATTGTCACATACAAAGCTGCAGTTGACTCCCTTACTAACATATTGCAGTTTCCATGTTGTTGTTTTTTCATTGATTGACTACAATCAGTTACATCTGATGTTCTAGTAAAAGAAATATTAATGCAGTCACATTTGACAGACCACAGTGATACCCTGCTGTTCTTCGGCATTAACACTTTGCCACCTCATCTTGCCAATTGGCGATGTTTACCTCCCAGTTTCTTTGAATTTTCCCCAAAATATGATGGCAAAGTGTTAATGTTGTGTTATGCTCACAGACTTATAATCATTTTGTGTGAGGTGGTGGCCACTCTAATGTGGTCTGCTCCTTCTACAGTCAGGCACAGATAACATGAACACGGAAAACTCTAAATCACGGATAGTTCCTACAATTTGCCGTTCCCGGACTGATATATATCACTTTAACATTTTTTCTTTAGCGGATAAACGGAATTATAATAATAACAATAACAGCATTTATATCGCGCTTTTCCATTTTCTAAAAAAAATGCTCAATGCGCATTACATCGAAAAAGGTATCTCATCTTAAATCATGGATGTGTCAAACACATTTGTCAATCCCTGACATGCTTGAGTTATCCGTGCTTGACTGTATTTCTTTTTTTCTCATGTTGACACTTGTCCTGGGTTGCCTTCAGGCATGGTGCAGTCACTATCGTTTTGATTTGCCACCAGGCCTGCCAACTTTCCCTGATTTTATCGGGAATTTCCCAGATCAGATGCGCTGCTGCTGACTACCTGATAACAGTCTTGATTTCCCGATTTCGGAACCATGCTATATTATAATATTATTACAATTATTTGCACAAAAATGACAAAATGAAATCAACGATACCTGAACTCGTGCGTTACTAAAATATCCCTATTAAGCGTACGTCCTTTGCTGTTTTATGGTTCGGCTACATATAATGCTAAAATAAACCTGGCAACCGAATATGCACGCTACGTTTTCTCGATCCCGACTTGGTGTTACCTTGTTGGCCATAAATAAGGAGATCTTCTTTATTATTTGTAAGACTGGCTTTGAATAAGTTAAGTGTGATAGGAATATTACCTGGCATGCAGCGTGCCACGCTGATTTTCCCTATTTTACATTTTCAAAAGTTGGCAGGCCTGCTTGCTTGCCACACTTCTCCGTGTACCTCCCAAGTGATCTAAAGGGTGCTGGTGGGGTTGTATAACATTTGATCAAATTTTTATGGTGTTCTACATGATATAGTATATAGTCAAACTTGTCTAAGTCTAAGACAGCCCCACACTGTCGCGGAGAAAAGTGGTTGCCTTAAACAAGTGGACATCTTGCACAGGCTCATTATAAATGTAAAAAAAACCAAAACATTCAGGGGGGGGGGGGGGGGGGGGGATAATTTTTCACCATGGCTCAGGGTCTACTGTAGTGAACATTTCATATTGTTGTGTTGTCATGTTTATATATAAATGGATAAACTACCCGTAAAGAATAAATAAAAATCAACTTGTGCCAAATGCTGTGCTGTTTTCTCCCAACCTGTGCTTATTTTTCGTATTTTCCTTTGACTTTTGATTTGTAAGATTTCAATGTTTTTGAGCTTTGTGTGTGCATGTGACACGTCATGGAGCAAGCATTTTTATTTTGTGAAGCGTGCTGACAAAATGAGTTACTTCTCGCAATCCAAAAGTGGAGATATCAGCCCGAAAATTGTTACTGGGGTCAGATTTATAGATTTTTGATTGATACCATTCTGCTCAAGTCTACTGTGTCTTTTATTTTTCCATACTTACAAATTGTACAAACTCCGCCCTATAAAGTTGATGTATCAATTTCCATTAGGCTAAAATCCCCAAAAAAGTAACTAATTTTGTCAGCACACCTCGCATTTGTTGTATATGTATTACGGATCATCTAAACTAAGATTCAGCTCACAGTTACATATATCAAACTGGGTTCTCATTCAAGTCTTAACTTCATGCTAGTCAGAAAATTTGTCTGTACATACGACAGCCCTGATCCAACTTTCTCATCAACAGGGAAGCTCTGTTCTGCCGTATGCTGACAAAACGTCTTTTTTTTTAAAGATTCACAATAAGTTTCG